TATTCAATTACATAACGAGAGAATTTTGGAAACTTTTCGACATTTTACTAGATGTGCGTGCTTTTACTAGTGACATCCCAATAAAGCTTGTCAAGTTTATCTTTTCCACTTACTAGAATGTCGGTAAATTAATTAATTTTTAACAATTAATAATTTTATTTGGTCCTAAATTGAGACCATACAAAAAGTGAAAAAAATTAATAAAATAATAATTTTTCAGAAAATTTAGTATATATCTATAAGTCTCAACAAAACCATAGATTAATAAATACCCTAACAACAAAAAATAATAATATTTACTTTAATTAAATAATAAAATATGAACTATTAATAATTGCTTTTTAGTCCGTGGAGATGATATAAACTATGTACGGATTTTTATTGTTCAAAATAGTTTTAATACTTGATTGATTTAGATGTAAAGATAATTGCAAATTTAGTAATTTTGTGACGGTCTTTTTTTCTCAAATTGATTATTTAATAATTTGCTAAATTAATAAATTTTAGTAGTCCCGACACTATTAATTTATAGTAAGCCTGTGCTTTGGGTAAAACCGAACCGATACCGGTCTGACCCGAACCGATCCGGGCATTCATAATTTTTGAACTGAACCGAGCTGCACCGAACCGGTTTGGTTCGGATTTTAGATTTTTTTTTTTTTTGTTGGTTGCTCTTGTTCCAGAAATTTAAATATATTGTGTTACTATCGATTTTCAATTTGTAATCTTATACATATAATTTTGAACTAAATTCAGAACCGATTTAGAACCAATTTTTTTTTTTTCACTAGAATTTGTAAACTATTACAGTACAATTCAAACAAAAAAAATGTCCATTGTTAAACTAAAAATGACAAGGAAAAATGTCCAACAAAATAAAACAATTCATTAAAGAAAATAAAATTTCAATACATAATATATTGTACCTACTTCATCAAACTTGTCCACAATTATTATAAACAACAATTTAAACTTCAACTTCAATGAGAGCATGCGCGTCATCTACTCCGGGCATAGCTAAAATATCTGAATAAAAAAAAAATGAAAGTTAAAATTAATAACCTCAAACAGACTCTTCTTTGAAATAAAACACCTTTAGGAATAAAAGATATTGAAGAATTGTACTTGATTCAATGACATCCATTGCCTCTATCTCCTCCAACTCCTCCTCAAAATTGACCATCTTGTGTTCTTTCCGCAACCAATCACGACCACAAACAACAGCCTCGACCATTCTCGGAGATAATGCACTCCAATACACATCAAGAACACGGTTTCCAGCACTAAATGCTGACTCTAAAGCTTATCAAACAAAGGTTCATGAAAAGAATGCATTTTAGAGGACTTTATAAACCTGCTAAAGCAATGCTCAAAATAGTGGCTATTAGTCCTAAATTTCAAGAAAAAATCAGACCTGATATACCTAGCTTGAAGCTATTTTCAGACCACGGATTCCATCCTCAATAATTTGACTGCTGCAATTCAAATCCAAGAGTGTTCCAGACTCCCAGCTAGACCCCCTGCAGTTTGCACAAGACAAAGGAGACGAGAAGGGTGAGAAAGAGGGAAGAAGGGATTTCGATCGTCATTACTTCTAACTGAACTGAATTACTGAAATAATACTACCGCCAGATTACTACGAACCACAAGGTTAAAACAGGAAGCAATTCATGAAAAAAAAAAAATCAGCTTAACAGATTTTATAAGCATGCTTAACACATGCTCTAAGCAGCGGGTATACCTAGTTTGAAGCTATTTTCAGAGACAACAAAAAATCCATTTAAGTCAACTGAGTTCTGGTAGCAATAAAAATGCTTAAAAATAGCAATCCATTTAAGTCCAAAACAGAACAATCAATAGCAAACCATTTGAACTTTGTTCTCAACAGCAACAAATAATATCCATAAAAAGCACTACAGAACAATCAATTTTGCAGCACCAACCATGATGTATGAAAAGAGGATTCATTGCAACACCATGATGTATGAAAAGATGAAGAGATAAAAGAGGTGGTTGATTGTATACTTAAGGCAATGTACCAAAACAGTTAAGAATTCAGAAAAACATACAACAGTGAGCCTTTTTATTATTCTGTCAATCTGTTTAGTGTTTCCACTAGTAATTCTTTAAGGACTTCCTTAGTGTTTTGAATGATTTATACGTCTTTACTCGTTAGCCAATACTCAGGATGGCAAGATACTTATATGAATATGTTTCGCCATGGTCGAACCACAACAGTTGCAAGCCAAGAAAACACTATAATTCACCAACAGAACCACAGATATAAACCTCTCATCATCAGAAGAGAAGCTAAAAGACAATAAAATTGATGATACATTTATCAGATAGGCAACCCATGATAGCCTACCATAGAGAGATGAATCAGAGAGTTGAACATGAAACACAGACAACAGCACCAAAAGTATTCGCTTAATGTTCATTGTTTTTTATTTAAGTGAAAACAAATGCAAAGAGGGGCTCTCAGAATTTCATTGTTAAAAAATACTAACTGTTTTAAGGATGGATTTTTACCATTGCCTTTTGAATCTGTTTCCGCATACGATATGGACCCGTCAAGGTTCACTTCAACCTTCGTTGACCCGTACTGCAGTAGACAGAAAGCAATTAGCATCATAGCAGTGATCAATAGAGTAGCATAGTTTCACATAAATGTTGTAAACCAACAGAGCAGCAAGTTAGACTCTTGTGATAAAGATACTACTAATTAGACCGAAAAAAAGGATACCACTAACTCGATATAACAAGCACAAGGAAGCTCACAAATTTGGTAGATGCCAAAGTTCAAAATCTCATATTCTAACAGATGAGTGCCAGAAGCAGAAAGGCAAATCCAAGGTATAAACATGGGAACAAATCATAATTATCATGAAGGCAATCAAAAATCTAACTCCTTCAACAACAAAATGACCTTAGGGACCGAATCCCATTGTTGAGCTGAAACATACAACTACATTATTCACGTAATCAATTAATCTTAAAAAAAAATCCCTTTTAAAGAACTAGAATACCTTCTCCAGTGATTGTTTTGCTCTATGATTTCAGCCAACAATGGCTTCTAAGTTCTAATCCGTAGCATACAGGATTTTTTGAAGAACCCATATCCCAAACCCCTCAAAAGAACCAAAAAAAAAAAAACAAATTGATTGAAAGCCTTGAAAACTACACCTTCTAAAACCAAGTGATAATAATAGCAATACACCCAGAAAACCCTTGTCCTCGGTCCTTCCCCACTCCCAAATCAAAACCAAGTGATACTAAGAACGGTACCTATATCATCAAATAAAAAATAAATGAGTAAATAAAAAAAAATGTCCATATCCATGAGCAAGATGAGCAGCAACGGCAATATTGATTAAATAAGGGTTCCAATTAATTCGAACTTTTTGTGGGATTTGAGAGCACAACCTGAAAATTGGAGATGAACAGAGACAGAAATCAGAAAGGCCCGCTCGGAAATTTCTACAACTGAATCCCGGAGCTTTGTTGGGAGCTAAAAATTGATGGAGGAGCCGGGCATCCAATCAAAACTAGTTGATTCAATTGTTGATAGAGATTTTGGGTAATTCCTCACCAGATTAGCGCACAAGTTTGAGTAGCCTTCCGCTCCAATCGAATAAAGGATCGACTCCAATTGGATGGCGGACGAGATACCTTTCCACTCCAATCGGATGGTAGACGAGAAGAGGTAAAAGACGAGTCGCCGGTTGAAGTGAACAATTCAAGAAAGGATCGACGATGGCCACTTCCTGATCGTGATCGGTGACGGAAAGTGAAAAAGAAGTAAAGATGAAAAATCTGCTAAAAAAGGTGAACCCAAAATTGAAGTCTAACCCACGATTAACCGATGGAAATAAAGTCCGAAATCGAACCGAAACCGATCTGATCGACAGCATAAACTAACCGTTCCGAACCGATCCGGAAATCACGGTTCGAATCGGATCGGATCGTCGATTTAACCCGAAACTGCAGATTAAATGCACAGCCCTAATTTATAGAACTTCTACTATATGTTGTACTACTCCCTCCGTCCTTAATTAAAATTTTTTATATATATTTTTGAAAAAGAAAATAGTTATCACTTGTTTCTCGACGTACTATTGCTGTGTAGTTTAATTCACCTTAGTGTAATTAATTCTACTTCAAAACACCATTTTCTGTACCACCTAGTTTCACTATCCTTAAATTTTTGTAACATTCTCGCATCTCTTAATAATAATGAAAGTACCCTCATTTCTACAAAGGAATTTTGAACCACGAAAATAAAACTTAAATTATATCATAAACCTCAAATATTAAGAAGACAGTATTTGGTTTCTTCTGCAGGTGCTGCGGCTAAAAATTCAGGAAGTCGAGGTCGATTTTGATATGCAGTCCATTCTTTGTCCCCCCATCCCCCCACCCCCAAAAGAACAAAAAATTAAAAAATATCAAAAGCACCAAAATTTTGATTTGTAAATAAATAACTAAAGATTTTGAAATACATACATTTGACTATATCTGTATTTTACTTATATTATCTCGGAACAAATTCAATTCTCCTTTCGTGTTTTGAAATATTTGCTCCATCCGGATATCCTAAAAAATAAGAAGTGAATGAAACATAATGAAATAGCTAGGTTAATACAAACGGCAGCGAACAAAAAATTGGCTCCACTAAATAAATGTTCCGCGGGGAATGCATCCGCGTCGAATGACTCTTTGGTCTCCTAGGTTCGTCCTTGCGTATACCCTAGGAATTGAAATGACATCTACAAAAATACAAACTTGATTACTAGTTTTACGTTGAAAAAAAAAAGAAATATAACCCAAAAAAAAATAAAACATTTGTGATTTGACATCATTCATTAGACAATTTAGCTTCACAAATTTGCTGCTAGCTATTTGTTTATCATCAATTGATCATGGGTAGTCCACATATTTCATTAGGCATTGGCGCATGATCACTTTCTTTTATTTTTTAGTATTGATTTTTCTTGTAGTAACAAAGGATAGACAGTCTTAAAAAAATTTATATGAACTAGTTTTAGAATTAATTTGTGCTTGTTAAATATGACGACCCAAGGAATTAATTAATTGATTGATAAGAGCTACACTGTTGTGTAGATTCTTTGTTGTTTTAATTTTATCATTATTATGATTATTTGTGAGCTGAAATAGCCTCTCCCACAAACCCCAAAATTTCTATTTAACCTGACAATGGACATTGACAAATCTCCAGCATACTCTATACTCTCCTCTCAATTCTCATCACATGGACCATTTTTTTGAAACCTCTGAAAATTCCCCATACTTTCTTCTTAATTTCTTCTTTACTTCATAGCTATCTATACTCTCTTCTTCAACCCCAACCCCAACCCTAACCCTAGCCCTTTACCTAGAAGCTCATCATCATTCAGTATTTTGACAATATATGTATTAGGCTAGCCAGTACCTCAACCAAAAATCAGAAGTTCATCATCAAAGCTTTTGACTAATAGCAGTTTGAATTCTATTAATTATGGTAGATTTCTTCCCTTGTTAGCTAGCCAGAAGATGCAGTACTCTTCCAGCAGTAATAATAAGGGAATCTCATATTGTCCTCACTTTTCGCCATGTTTGAACCAGAGCCCTTCTTTTAGCCCCAATGATGACAACCAAGCTTTACTTTACCCTGAAGATCTGCTCTCTTACAACTATTACCTTAATGTTGGCCCCATTATTGAAACTGCAGCCAACAAAAAAATGGCTACAGTTTCAACAAGAAAGAAGAAAAACACTCCATCTTCTACAAAGAAAATGGACCGTCACAGCAAGATTTTTACAGCTCAAGGCCCTAGGGACAGGAGGGTAAGGCTGTCCATAGGAGTTTCGAGGAAGTTCTTTGGGCTTCAAGACTTGCTAGGTTTTGATAAAGCAAGTTTGACTCTGGAATGGCTGTTGACCAAGTCAAAGACAGCCATAATAGAACTCCTAAAGTCGAAGCAGGTTGATGATGATGCGGATATTGCTAGGTGCTTAACTTCTGTGTCAGAAATAGATGGAGAAATATTTGTCAACAATGAAGAAGGAGGAGCTGATAATATTAATGATAATGAATGTTCTGAAAAGACACCGGCTATTTCCAAGAGATCAAAAAAAATCAGATCATCAGGTGGAAGAAAAAAACAAACCAAATTTATTATGAGTGAATTGGATAGAGTTGCGAAAAATTCAAGGGCAAAGGCAAGAGAAAGAGCTAAGCAAAGAACAAAAGAGAAGAATTCTCAAAGATTAGACTTCTTCAATCCTCCTCCTCCTCCTCCTTCACATAGTCAAATCCCAAGGTGGCGCCATGGATCTTGCAATTCGTCGAATTCGAGTACTACGAATACTGGTAATACTAGTACTAATCCCGTGGGAGTTGGAGGATTCTTGTGTGTAAATCCAAGGATAAGAGCTGAAGTAACTGCCACCGTTGAGGAATTGTTTATGGAACAATGCGGAAGCATGGACAGGCATATTTTAAAGCCAGTTTCTTCATCATCCAACTTTGCTTCTATTAATCACAACGAAGCTGTTCATTCAGATCTCAACATTTGGCCTTCTTCTACCACAAATGATAATGAGCTTTAGTTTCTTCCCTACAGCTTTTTATTAAAGGTACATAAATGGGAAAAAAAAATTCTCATTCCTTAATTCCAGAGAAATAATTCATTGAAGAATAACCCTAATTAATTCTTCTGCTCTTTCCTTTGTTCTTAACTTGTAGATAAAGTGATTCAAAATTCTGCAGGAAGCTATATTAGCTCTCTAGATTGGGAGAAGACCAAAAAAGGGTTATTTGCTGGTCAACGAATAACTGATGTGAGAAGTTCTTTTTCTCTTTCATTGATTTGATGATTTGGAGTTATGTGCATATAATTTCTAATACCAGGGGTGAATGTTAGAATTCCTTCAAGATCTACATCATATTGATTAGATCCTGAGTAATTTTTATTGGAAAGAAATAAATTAATGTACTTAATGTTATATATGAAGTTCTTTCCTTGCCTCTCTAATTACAGAATTCTTCTCCATCGTTCTGTCTCCATATATATATATATATATATGTGTGTGTGTGTGTGTGTCTCCATATTCATTTGCAGGATATGGTTGAAAAATGACAAATTAGAAATCCAATACACTGCAGTGGAGATTTTAAATTGATTAGTAGATCCACTGGCTGAGTATATCTCTTGTTAATTATCAATGAATGGGTTGAAAAACAATTTGAGTTTTACCTAACTATTCCATCTACACTGTCCTTCTATCCTTTTTTCTTTTCTTTTTTTTTTTCCATTTTCTAGTTGACATTTTAAATACTCGTTTGTCTCAAAATGATTGTCCAATATGGATTTTCATTTTTAATTTAATTTGTACTAAAAAATAAAAATCCAAATTAGACAATCATTTTAGGACTAAAAGAGTTATTAATTAGTCATTTGTCACTGATGCTAATTCTTTGGATAATTTCTTCCTGCTTTACTAATGACATTTGAGTTTTTTTTTTGTATTTTTTGTTTTTTTTATTATTATTTTTGGATATTTGAGATTATGTTAGTGCTTGTTTTTGTTTATAAGTACTATCAGGTCTCAAAATTAAACTCTTGTTTGTTGCAGTAATTTTTCTTAACAAACAAAAATCCTATTTTGAGACAGAAAGAGTAATTTGTAAGGTTTAGCTAGACTTACTACGGAGAGAGTATGAATTGCAAAACTTACTGTTGTTTTGTTGGCTGTCAATCGGGAGATGTAAGAGATGGCTGTCTGCAAGGATAGTTGATTACTTGCGTGCATGACATTGATCTTTGTAATATGAGAGATCTGATGCTGTGAGGGGTGAGTCTAAAAGCTAGTCAGTGGTAGGCAAATTTGGAATTAAGATACTTACTTACCAAGTTAGCTTGTCAATGGAATCGATTAATGAATGTTAGCTTCTCACTCCAGCCTCGTATTTTTGAGGATTTGACGCGTACGTGATTTGTTTTAAATAGTTGGAGTTGAAGCTGAGTGGCCAAGAGAAACACAAAGTTGAAAATAAATACGTACTACATTTTGTGTGTGTGTGTGTGTGTGTGTTTTTTTTTTTTGGTTAATACGTACCATATTGAGATTTCTCAGCATTAATGTTGTTTCGTGTTCAATATTTCCAAAAAGTGATCCGATCTTAGAGACTGTAATTGGCAGAAATGAAATCAGTGACAGCTTTTTTTACCTTGTCTATAAGCAGTAAAAAAAATTCACAACATAAGAGGATTTTCAAACATGAACATTAAGGACTTGAACTTGAAGTGCATTCTTCTTTCTCAATATTTTCTGTTACTTTTATTTCCTCACCCTGTTTTTTTTTTTTTTTTTTTGAGTAATTTCCTCACCCTGTTTGTTGTAGAAGTATTATTTTTGATATTACAAATAGGAAAATCATTTTCAGGATTGAAGAGCGTCATGCGGATGGGTGCGAATAGACCGACAATACACTTATTTTACATGATGATTGGAGATGCCACTGCTTTATTACAATTTAAATTTAGGAATTGGACTAGGAAAATTGAAAACATGCGATATTTCTTCATCATTTCATTGTTCCTATATTCAAATTTCGCTCAATCCTGGCTTCATAAATAAAAAAATCTTCAAAGCCCATCTCAAATTTCCTTCAGCAACAAATCCAGAGTTCCAGTCTTCCAAATTCCTGACGGCATCTTAACATAATTAATGTAAGATGTCGTCAGTAAATAGTAAAATTTCAATGAAGAAGTTTTTTTTTTTTTTTTTCATATTTTCATAGTGTTTACTGTCGATAATAGTGTAATGAAAGCTGAAAAAATTAATATTACTCTATGTTACGAGATTCAAATTCTCGATTTGTGGTTAAAAGTGGGAGAGTCTTTTATTCTACTAAAACCCCTTTAGTCAATGATGAAGAAACATTTCGAGACAAACTACTAAAACTGTGAAAACTAAAAGCAATATATGGGATCATGGAAGGGAGCGTTGGCCCAATGGAACTGGGCTTGCCCATTCATTTGTCTTGATATTTTATCTTCAAGGTAGTATTTGTAAATGTAAAGAGGATCCTGGAGTAATTTTAATTATTTTTTTTTGGGGGCTAATAAAAAGTAAAATTAAATGCTGTTGGTGATGCACACCATCTTATACGCAAAAATCACATTTACATTGGTGCGTAAATTTGGAAATTTCTCCTCCTGCAAATTACCGGAAATTGATTTTGTGGAATCATCCAGTGCCATTATTTATTTTTTTGTTTGAAGAATCTGAAAATAAATAAAATTGATGAATGATAATCTTTTATTGTGGAGTCCATCAATGGGACTCATCGAGATCACTCTGTAGTGCCTAATTCTCTACCTTATTATGAACATTCTAAACATGCTGCATTTGTTTCAAACTGTTATAAACACATCTGCTAATCTGCAGATTTCAATGATGTGAAGTACTACAAATTAAAGGGACTCTTTTCTTTCTCATTTTAAGTAAATTTTCCGCTTTAATTGTTTTTTTTTTTGGTGAATGATAGCATTCCCATGTTGTTATACATCATCATGTTTCTTGGAGGAAACCTGCGTTACTAGCTAGTTTCGTCGTCTAATGATTACAAGATCTCAATAAAAGATAGTCTTTCGGTGAAATGTAAAATTTTCGTGGAATCAGTTACTTGTAATTTGTAAAGACAGGCTTTCTTTTCCGTAACTTCATAAAACTTTTATCTCTAAAAACAGTGATTTTTATTTCATAAAAGTCAAAATTAATTTTTTTAAAAAGAACTTAAATATTCGCATAACAAAAATAGAAGTAAGTCACCATTTTGAGTTAGAAACAAATTAAATAGTGGCAAAATAAAAAAAAAAATTATGAACGGTTGATGATAATACTACGTACCTTGATTGAGTTGTCCAGCTTTAGAAAGATGTACCTTATATACTTTCCTTTTTTAAAAAATAATACCTTAAATACTTAAATCCTTCGGTGTTCTACCCAGATAACTGCAATATTATATATATAATATATGAATACGTGTACATATATATATATATATATATATATATATATATAACTCATGATATATAGATTGAAAAGTTCCCTGCATCAATATTTTAATCTTATTGCAAAACTGATTTTTTTTTTTTGGGATGAAAGTTGATTTTCATTCCAATTGAATTATAAGATAAATACAATCTCAAAAGTTCTCAAGAGATCTATACAACAAAATATAAACAACCTGCAACTATATGTTAATACACAAAAGATCACCACACAAGATAGCAAAATCTAGCATTTCAAACAAATCGGGGAGAGATTTTCATCAATGTGCACCACCGACTGTTCTTACGTGTATTCTTCATCTTAGTAATTTTGGCAAGATTCATCTTCAAGGAGAATGAAATGCTCCAAAGCACCTCAGCTTCTGACACCCTGGTATGGTGAAAAATAATCTGATTTCTCACCTCCAAAATGTGATATATTGCTGCTGCCATCACTCCTCTAGTAATGTCATCACTAACAAAACTTGAGCCATATTTTCTCAATATCAATTCCTTAAAAGATAGCCATTGGAATGACTGGACCTCTTCACCCACCAATGCCATGGTTTTAGTGATGATCTGAATGGAGAATAGGCACTCAAAGAACATATGGTCAACACTTTCTTCCTCCATCATGCACAGAGGACACCTACTATCAATAGTAGGGTCATATATGAAGATTTTGGCCCTTGTGTTCAGCTTGTTGAGACATGCTAGCCAAGCAATAAAACCATGTTTTGGACAATAAACTTACCCCAAGATAGGATGTACTCTGGCTTCCTAGTGTGCTGGATACTTAGAGTCAGATAAGCCCCCTTCACTGAGAAAGGTTCACCGGCACCAATCCATTCAATGCCATCTACTGTCACGTTAACGCCTCGCAAAGCAAATTGTTTCATTTTCAGCAACTTTTTTATTAGCCAGGAGGTAGATTGTTTTACTTCAAGATTCCAGAAGGAAACATCTTTCACATAGTATTCATGTATCAACTTCACCCATGAGCTCTCTTTATTAAGGTGAATATCCCATATAAGCTTTAACACCAAGGCAACGTTCATCACTGTTGAATCCTTGATGCCCAACCCTCCTGAATTCAAGGGCTTACACACATCCACTCAAGCAACAGAGGCTTTTTTGCTATCAGAGTTACCTGACCATAAAAAGGATCTGCAAAGACCATCAATGGTTTTTATCACCTTTTTGGGAATAATGAAGATTCGGCACCAGTAGTTGTGGAGAGACTAAAGGACTGATTTCACCAAAGTGAGTCGACCAGCATATGATAAAAATCGTGTGATCCAGCTTCTGATCCTCTGAGTAACATTCTCAATGAGAGGTTGGCAGTCTGTGATGGAAAGAGATTTAGAATTAAGTGGGATGCCAAGATATTTCACTGGGAGCTTACCCTCTGCTACCCCCAAAATACTGCTGATGTCATTTCTCAAGTTTACTGCAGTTCCCCCAAAATACAAGCAACTCTTGGATATATTTGAAATAAGGCCAGACACATCAGCAAAGTGCTTGAGAACAGAAACAATCAGTCTAACAGAGTTCAAGTCAGCTTTAGAAAAGATAAACAAGTCATCTGCATAAGCTAGATGGGTGAGTTTGATCTTGTGGCACTTGGGGTGAAATCTGAAGTTCTTATCCAAAGACATTTTCCTCAGAGCCCTGGATAAATATTCCATTACAAGGGAGAAAAGATAGGGGGACATGGGATCGCCTTGCCTAATTCCTCTCTTTCCAGGAAAGTAACCAGTGAGCTCACCATTGACTATCACGGAGAATTGGGCAGTGGTAACACATGTCATGACCCACTTGATAAATCTGAACGGGAAGCCATAGTGAACCAAAAGATCTTCCAGAAATTTCCAAGAAACTGAGTCATAGAACTTTTGCAAATCCACTTTCAAGGCCATCCTAGGGCTGGAATTACTCCGGCCATATAAGTGAACAAGTTCCTGGGCAAGTAAGATATTATGAGTGATACTTCTACCCGGGATAAATGCTCTTTGTTCTACTTCCACAATTTCTCCAATCACCTTCTTGAGGCGGGCTGTAATGATGTTGGCGATGCACTTGTACACCACATTACAACACGAAATAGGTCTAAAATCAGCTGCTACATTAGGGCATGTAATTTTGGGGACAAGAGCAATAGCAGTAGCATTAATGCCTTGAGGAAGCTTATAGGAAGTGAAGAAATTCTTAATAGCATTCATGAATTCCACACCAATGATATCCCAACAATGTTTGAAGGCCTTAGCACTTATCCCACCAGGCCCCGGGGCTGATTTATTAGAGATATGAAAGAGGGCTTGTTTGATTTCTTCATCCTTGATTGGCATGCATAAGTCCATACATTGCTGAGGAGAGACTAAACGACCACCAATAGAAATACTGGGGTCCAAACTTGTTGTTGCATGCTCAGATCCCAAGAGGTCTTGGTAGAAACTTAGTATCTCAGCTTGGATTTCTGAAGGGTCCAATAATCTTTTACCATTTCTGTCCACAAGAGTATTGATAGTGCCTAAGGCTCTTTTCTGTCTCAAACAAGCATGAAAATAAGCTGAGTTTTGATCTCCTTCCAGGCTCCAATTAATCTTAGCTCTCCGTTTAAGGAAAAGCAGTTCATACTTGATGAGCTTGTGAAGATCAGCAACTGCTTGTGCCTCTTGTACCATCAGTAGAGGATTAGAGGGATTTTGGAAAAAGTCATTTTGTACATCATACAAGCGGCTCCTTGCTCCATTAATTCTGTGTGAAAGGGATCTTGTCATGCGCCCATACTTCTCTTTAAGTTTTAGTTTAAGGGCCTTAACTTTTCTCTGCAACCTATAGAGATCAGTAGGAGCAGGATATGACAGCCAGCTATCAGCCACTGTAAGGCTAAAATCATCCTCTTTTGTCCAGAAATTACAGAATCGAAAAGGAGGGTGGACAGCTTTATATGGTACCAATTCAGCAACGGCATGAGAATGGTCAGATACTCCTGGAGGTAGAAAAGACGCTATAGACTGCATAGAAGTCATCCAGAAGCTGTTAACCAGGATTCTATCAAGTTTAGAGCATATTCTTGATCACAATGATGCTTGTTGGACCAGGTGAAGAAGTTCCCTGAGAAAGGCAGGTCTGTGATGTGATTAAATGCCATGAAAGACTGTAAATCAATTGTGTCGCTGGCCGTAACAGGTCTTCCATTCATCCTTTCAGAAACAGAAGCTATACAATTGAAGTCACCTATAATGATCCACTCAGAAGCAATAGATGCCGACAGGCTATTCAAATCTGACCACAGTGATGTTCTGTCCTTCTTTGAATTAAAAGCATATACAAAAGTAGCATAGAAGTAGAATCTACCCGAGACAAAGCTACAATGGATAAGCTGATCAGTCCTCCTAAGAACTTGAAGTTTCAATTTGCAGCTATTCCATAATATGAGAATTCTACTGTGTGGTGATAAGTCAAAATTATGTACAAAGTTCCATGAAGGAAAGTTGCAGCACTTAGCAAAAACAGAATTTAACTTATCTATATGCACTTTAGTCTCTAATATAGCTATTAGATCTAAGCAGTTAGACCTAATAAAATTCTTGATTTCAAACTGTTTATTGGGGTCATTGAGACCCCTAATATTCCAGCTTGCAATCTTCATAAAATAAACATAAAGAGAGAGTTGAGGAAGGTGTGGTACCTCCCTTAGGCTTCACTTTTCTCTGACTCCTTAGTCGCCGGAGCTGGATTGTTGGCTTCTTGAGCTAGCAAATTGAAAGGATTTTTATCTAGCTGGCCGACGGCTTCCTCTTCCTCTGGGGTTGACTGCCTCAGAATAGTAGGATGAACCATAACCTCAGGCACCTGCATCTCTGGGGCTAGCTGATTATTTTTTAAGTTACCACTAGGCTTTGCATTAGTTTTACCTTTGGGGATCCTTCCTGGAGCTACTTTCTCCTTAAACATCACTGCAGTTTCCTCTTTCTCTTTGTTCTCCATTGTTGCAGCATCTTTAAACTTCATGAGAACAGCCTCCTCAGCTTGAGTTTCAATGACTTGGTATGTACCCTGATTTTCTTTGAACCAATTACTTCCTGGTGAATTGGATTCTTCAACTTGTTTAGGCATCCATTTTGGAGAAATTAAAGTTTCAGCCCAGTGGGAGTGAATAAGTCCAGGTAAATAAGTTGGTTTTCAACAAAGAGGAATAACCGAATAAGTCAGCCACTTTCACCGGTGGGAGTGGATAAGTCCGGGTATATTATAAGTCGGTTTCCGACAAAGAAGAATAAGATGGTTTTCTGCATTGAAGCAATTAATTATACTATTCTTCGTTTATTCGAAGAAGATCAGAACGTGTTTTGAACTGGCTGAGTTCTTCATTAGGGCATCACCAAACCTTGAGAAGTGCGTAATAGAAATGAAATACACAATGAAAGACCTTATCAGTAGCAGCGGAAATTCTGAGAATGTTGTACACAACACATTTTTAAATCCAATATTTAGAGTGGTTGAAATATTCGTGTTTCATATAGTCGATTTGAAACTTGTTAAGTATCCCGTCGGCCGGTCTCTTAGTTATAAGGCAAAATTGAAACTAAAATTCGTTGAAATTTGCATCTTATGATTATGATGACAAAAAAGAGTACTTCCTTATAATAATGCAATTTCTCTCGAGAAAAATAATTGTTTATCCGCGTTATCAGGGCAATCCATATGTTGAAGCAGCATGGTTAGTGTGGATGTGGAGACTTGTAGTCTGATAACTGAGATGATAGCAAATTAAATGATGGCTGAAGTTTTTTGCATGTTTAAGTTAGAAACACTCTAGCCAACATGATGACCAGGATGATGGTCAGGACATCGAAGCAATTATGCGATGATAAATGTTAAGCTGTTGTCAAGTTTGCTTGGTCCGGTTCATGTGGAGATGCCGGTGAACGCTACAGATTTTCTGTTGCTTAGGGGATTGTTTGCATAATAAATCTATATATTCAATTGGTTCAATTAGTTTGAGAAAAAAAAAATATATTTATCAGGTTACATGAGTTACTGAGATATCATAGAGAACGTCGACACAGGAATGCTACCCCTTATTACATATTCCAGCAATGAATGAATTTATGTTATCCGACAATTCAACAATATTAATTAATATTAATTAATAATATTACAATCGATAACAATATTTGAGTACCTTTCTCACTTGACTAATAATATATCACACTTGTTAATTTACTATCTTTAGCTCGAGGTAGTTCTTTTTTAATTAAAGTAACAAGATCACACTATGTTATTGTCCACACGTTTGCACCGAGGTAATTTGAGTTCCTTTTCTTCGTCTTTTGACCAGGAATGAAATTAATCCTTGAAAATCCACGAGCCAAATTCAAATACGCCAATCTACATGCCTAGCTTAGGACTTCAGGATTAATTTCCTCATATGGAAACCTTGTTTCACAAACTTTCACCCTAGGTTTTGAACATTTATAGTATCTTCAACCTTTCCACACACTAGAAAATCACCACTTTTCTGCTAGAATTATTTATTTATTGGGAGTTAATTGATATCATCCAAATCAATAGTAACAGATCAGTACCACTGATCATGAACAATTCATGATAGCAGAAAACTATCACAATTCACAACCTTAAAGTCAAATCGATCTGGCTGGAGTCGGGTTGAACAATTTCGGAAGTACTGTATCCTCCTTGATCATTCCAACATTGGTTGATAATTTCCGTCTGATCCCTTCTCCCGGAGCTCATTTCAGTCCTAAATCGTCCATATCCACGATGATTCTGATAAAGCCCAACAACAACACCGGAATCTTGCCAATGACTAGCATTAATCAGCCCAGATGATGATGATAATCGGGGGTTAGAACCCAAATGGTGGGGCCGAATTGCGGAGCTTAGCTCGAGACTTTTCTTGGCTAAGGTTCTCTCGAGTTTGTGGGCGTTTTGGTGACCTCCTAGAGCTCGTGAATTATAGAACTTCCTCCGGCAATACTTGCACGAGAAAATCCGTGGCTCCGATGGATTATTTAACAGCGGCAGCAGAGTTGGAGACGACGACGAGGAATTGATCAATGATGATTGGTCTAGTATTATTAGCTCATCATTGCTGCATAGACCAAGATTAAGGGCCGTGTTTGGCGCGAAGTTGTTCATGGCTCAAAAAGCTATGTGAAAGTTTTGTTTGCAAATCAAGAAAGATGAATTTGGTGATTTAGGTCATGCAACTGGCATTAGGGTGGAGAGATAGAAGATATTAAATAATAACTAGGGGGCAACGACTAAAGAGGATTATACATAGGTAGGTTATACTGGGTTTGAAGAGGAGGAAGAAGAAGGTTAAATAGATAAATGCCTCGTATGTGACTGTGTGAGTGCGTGAAGAGACTACTTTGAAGTTTCCCCGCAACACTTGATTCCAAAAACGATTTTTGCACAAAATTAGTCTTCATCCGATCCAATTGAAAATAAAACATTAAAAATATTTTACAATAATTAAGAAAACATAATAAATATGAAAATATGTTTATATGGTTTTATTTTTCAATTAGAAGAAACAATATACAAAATTTAAGATAAATTAAAATGATTTATAATAAGGACTGGACGGAGTATATCTTTTGTATTTTAGCCTTTTGGGTACTTTTTTGAATCGCAAATACCAACAATAAATTAGTTAGGCAATGATCACAGTGCAATGCGTTACAATGCATTTTATCTCAGGTAGTTCATGTGAGGTTAACTTCTTTTTTCTTTTTTCTCTTGTTTTTGTAATTCAGAAATTAATTATTAACAAGGTCATTGGCATTTGTTATATAATAAGGTATTAAGAATTATTCTGTTATTCAGACAGAATTTTAACAATATCATACTCTCGCAATGTGAATATTACGTAGTATCTTGGTTTCATCCCTCTTTTTGTGATTAAAAGTCGGAAAAAAAAAAAAACAATTTAGGCTTCGTTGACGATTGAAACAGCCTCTGGTGATGATAAAAAGCGTTTATTCAATTTCTTATTGTTTAAACATGATCTTATCACTTTTTTTTAATCTGAGAGATTATTGAGGAATGAGATTTCCCTGCAATTTTACATTTTTCTTTGGTTGGAGGGGGACTTACCTAGCATGCAATGTGATTAATTTCCCTGGTCCAACAAAAAAAAAAATCAAGATTTAGAATTATTGCTTAAAAAAATATATTAGACTTACCATTACTTTCCCCTTAGATATGTTATAACACAAAACAACCACGGTGTTTATTATTATTTCAAGAAGAAATCAGTTTAGCATGTGATAATTTCTTATATATATATATATATATATATATATATATATACATATATAAATAAGTGACTAGGCGTAAAACTTCCAAAAATATTACAATGGATATTCTTATATTCACATTTTTATGGAGATCGGGTGGCAATATAGCATATCATAGATGATCTACATATGAGAGAGGGAGGGATAAAGAAGTTGCAAGAAATCTATGTGGGATCCAAAATTTTTGTCGCCTCCAATAATGGCAGCATTTGAGATACTGTGTTGGACCCAATTTTGAAGTTTTTTTTCCTGGCCGTTTCCGAAACCCTGTCGCAAACAAATAAACTAACAAAAACGGTGGAAAATAATAAAGAAGTATAACATCTCCAACCATTATACTATAATTTATACCCAAATTTAATACATAAATAGAATATTCTAAGCATCTTTTTACACCAAAGTTCTTTACACTCCAACCTTGATGCATTAAAATGTCTAACTATTAAATGTTTTAGTTTAGATTTTATTTTTGTAGTTAATTAAAATAATGTAATTTTGTGATAATTTTGTGAAATTTGTTCCTTATAATCGTTTTTTTTTTATTGTAGATGTATCAAATTTTTTTTACTTATTTTTTATACTCAATTTTAATAATAACTAAAAATTATTTTTTTAAAAAATAAAAATTTATATTCAATATGGGTCTTATTTTGTAGATCTCAAAAAATATTTAATATGATATAAATTTTTATAGCATAATTTGTTTTACAAATTTAATTACATCGCAAATATATCTTTAGATCTAAGTAAAAATATAGTGCACTAAAAATAGTGTAACGGACAATTTACACCAAATTTGATGGAACACTATTCATTGCACCAAAATAGTGTAATGATTTAGTGCATTCGTTGGAGTGAAAACTTTATATCAATTTAGTGTTTTGATATCTTGGTTAAAGATGCTCTCAAGGACAAAAAATTACCGCGTTTAAAAATAAAGCAGTGAAGATATTAAAATATTAATTAGTAGTTAGCAACTTAGCATTCCTTTGTTTCTCATCTGTCCAATGAATTGATTCATGTTTTACGCATCTAGATATCTAATCATCGGTCCTTCGGTTTGGCTTTGACTCACTTTTACAACGTACCTAGGACATCCAAATGATCCAATACTTTATATAAAATACTCCTTCCGATTCTTAATATATGACATTTTGATTTGTCCAAAGTTTCACTTCCTATGCATTTTTTATAAACAAAAAAAATGTTAAAACTATATTTTCACATTTTTTGTGTTCTCTTGATTGTTATGAAATGTTTTTAATATTTTTTTTATCAATTAAAAATGTGTACTAGGTAAAATCTAAGAAAAGTCAAAATGCATTATAATAAGAACATGAGGGAATATATATTTTATTAATTTCCACTTTAAGTACGAGGAAGTGAATTAAATAAGCTAGCTTATCTCTAACGAGACAAAATTTTATAATAGAATATTAAACCTTTTATATATTTGTCCCACCACTGCAGTAGTTCATTTTAATTTATTTATTTTTTAAAATTGATTCCTACATGCATGCGTGTGCAATAGTTTCAAAACTTTTATTTTTTCCACTGATTTTGATATGTAGATTATGATTACTTCTTGTTCATCTTTGTGCTGCTAGGCATGCATCTTGTTAGGGTAAAGATTTAAAAAGGAATTTAGTATTAATTATAAGCTTATAAATAATATTCAGGTGGATCTAGACTAATAATTGTGTGTGTTGTATACACATACTGTAACAATATATATATATATATATATATATATATGTATGCATGTATGTATAATATAGTTTGACTAGTAATGACTTTTGCTGTGATTATCAGTTTTGATCAGCGAAAACTCTGGACAACATTTCAATAAAAGATTACTGTATTGTTTTTATATTCAATAAAAGACGATTTTTTCTTATCAAAATTGGAAATTTCAAGGCTAGCCTTTTGTGCCAAAAAGAACTTGAATCCAGATTGAAAGCAAACATTGCATTAAAGTTCTGTAGAATTATGTTTTGTTCAGTCGGAGTGAATTATTGATATACAAGTTTATATCATGAACGGTCGTTTTGATCAGTATGTTAAGACAAAGAATCTCATATTGTCATTGTGAAAAATTTATTATTTATTTATAAGTTGATCGAATCACTCTACTCATTATCAATTGATTTTAAAATATGAGACTGAGGTGAATTGGACACTAGAAATCCTAACATAAGTATAAATTTTTATTTCCATTCATTTTCGTCTTACTTTTTCTTTGTCCACTCCCAATCGGGAACTGGCCCGAAAGGTCATTGGTTGTCCGTTAACTTTTTTTCTTTTCTTTTAATTTTGATCAAAATAAGTTAAAACAATTTATATAAATGTCAAACAAGCAAATGACTGAAGGAATAGAGTTCAGGCGTCGAGTATATGTGGCTGTGACAATTAAAAATCCCCTTCCTAAGAAATTTTCTATTTCAAAAATTTAACTGTGGCATAAAAGTGTAAAATAACGCGTTACTAATGTTTGTTTACTGGGAGCTATAGTTAACATGAAAACTAATGCATATCTTTATTAATTTCTCTATAGTTTGCATATTTTTTCATCAATAATTGTATAAAATTTTTGAAAGACAATTATATCATCGTTATATTGACAAAAAGTTTTGAAAAGACAATGCTAACACTATTGTGACCTTCTCCGGGTCACAATAGTGGTAAATAATAAGTAAATAACTATTTTATATCCAGTTTGAGTTTTCGATCTTAGGACATTCACAATTAAATAATAAATAAATAACTATTTTATTATACTGTTTGTCATTGTGTTAGGTGCAATGTTTGCAGGATCGTGATTCTACGTAGGATTAAAATTAGATCATAGGATCGGACCATAAATGCGATCGGCAGGATCGAAATAGTAGGATCATAAAATTAATTATACATGTTTATAATTAATTTGATATTGCAGTTGCAATTATCTTTAGATAAAGTATTTAACATTTAAACAAAAAGAAATGTGTAAATTCAATTTTCTTATATGAATTTTTGCATAACTTTTTAATAAAAACTCTTCTCTTACAGTTTTTTTTATTTTATTAGAAAAAATTTTTAAAATATATTTTTCTTAGCAATAAAAGTTTTCTCAAAGAATATTAGCCTCAATTGAATGTGAACAAAAAAAAAAATAAGAGAAAAAAAATCTCAATAACCTCAATTAATTTTTTGTAATTGATGAATAGTAAACTCGGACCGATCTTACGATCCTGACAGATCCTGTATGATCCTGACCGATACCACTCCAATCCCACTCCGATCCCACTGCAAAATTCGAGTTTGATTGGTCTAGGTGTAATAATATTATACAGTGTAAGAAATTCTTACACCGTATAATACACTTTTTGGTGTTAAAATGTATTTAATGTGAATTTATGATAGTACTAAAATTATTACATTGTATTATACTTTTACAGTGTAGATCAATGTAGTGAAAAGTGAAATAAAAATATATTATTGAAAATTTATGACATTACACTTACAATAGTGTAAACCATTGTGGATGTTCTTAGTACTATTGAAACTCCAAACTGAACAATAATTTTAGGACAAAGTAAGTATATATATATATGTGGTATTTTATGTATCCGATATTTGAACTTATTGCTCCGACGAATTCAGATTTGAGTAAGATAGTTCTTTTTCTAAAAGTAAATTAAATTCTTCTAATAAATACTTTAATTACTGTTGCATATCGACGTTTGAGATTGAATTGATTTAATACTTTTACCAATTGAATAAAGTCTTATTGTTAAAGTTATATATATTCTAAACCACAAGGTTCCACAGCGTACCAAACATTAATTCCATGTTAAAAGCCACATTAATTATCTAATAATTTATAGTATTATACTAAGAGAGAAAACAGAGAGAGCGAATCAAATTTCTTCCCACGTTGACACATAGGACAAAATCCTATGTGTCAGTTTCCAATTGGTTGTAGCAAAAACTATTTTCAACAATTATACCAAATGTCCTCTAAATTTTCAGTTATTCATTTGT